CTGCAGTTGCGTGTGATCTGTTGAATCCTTCTTACACTATCCTCAGATAAACTCTAACGCCGGTGCATTGCCTTTGCGTTCAAGTCATGTCGGATAGATCGTATTTACGAGTTGAACGCACATGAACGCCACCACAAAGTCGTTATTACGAGTGGGAAACTCAAAATTTTCTTTAAGCCCCGAGTTTCCGAGTTGGGGGCGTGTCAATGAGAAACATGGCGGAATCGATGGATGACACGTCTGTAGTTGACGGTAATTTTTTGTTAAATTGATAGTTTAGTTGTCCTATAAACTTAAATTGGTCATGTTCTTGTTACGCAGCTAGTTAATGAAATCCAAGTAAAAAAATGCTATCATTTTTGCACCTATAGGTGAAAAATCTTTTGATTTGCCATGTTGCATGTTTTAAAAATATTAAAAACGCAAAACACACCTGATGCGAATTCTTTGCTCTTCATTTTCTATAAGCAGAGTTAACAGACCCTGTTGTATTTTCTTGTAATTTATTAAAAGAAGGTACACCGCCATCTTGTGCCGACTAAACTGACTTGAACGCACCTGACATCGTAATTACGACTTGTCAACTCGTAAGTACGAACGTGCCAGGAGGACTTGAACGCAGCATAAGTAACGGTCAGGTACTGCTAATCAAATACCTTTGTTTAACTGTTCATCAGCAAGTGTGAGCCCCTCTATGAAAGCAGAGGTTTTAGTAGTTTGCTGGTCTGGAGCCTTCAGGTGTGTGTTAACACAATGTCATTGAGGTAAGACATCAGCAATGATCTTAGGCTGATGATACACGGGGAAACTTTTTGAGCAATTTTGCCGGGCAACTTTTTTTTTAGCAATGTTGCTTGGGCATTTTCCATTGCGAATGGATATTTCTATCTGGATATTTTAGATCGGTCGTGAGCCCTGTGTCTCACCTTGTTGCCCATTGACAGCAACATTTCCCAAAGTTGCCCAGCAACATTGCTCAAAAAGTTGCCCAGTGTATCATCAGCCTTAGAGAAGCGATTGTTGCTGCCATCAGTAATCTGGCCATTTCCAAAACAATGAAGTCCATCATTCTACAGTGAGGAAGCTTATTCACAAGTGGAAGACATTCAAAACAGACACCAATCCTCCCAGGAGTGGACGTCCCAGTAAATTCACCCTAAGATTAGACTGTGTAATGCTCAGAGAAATGGCAAACAACCCAAGAACTTCACCGCAAACTCTACAGGCCTCAGTTAACATGTTAAATAATAAAGTTCATTACAGTGCAATTAGAAAAATATGGGACAAGTATGGCATGTTTGGAAGGGTTGCCAGAGGAAAGCCTCTAATTTCTAAAAAAAAAAAAAAAAACATGGCAGCATGGCTTAGGTTTGCAAAGTTTCGTCTTAACAAACCATAAGACTTCTAGAACAATGTCCTGAACAGATGAGACCAGAGTGGATATGTTTGGCCATAATGCACAGTGCCACATTTGGTGAAAACCTAAAGAGCGTTGGTGCCAATAGCCTCATGGTTAGTGCGCCGACACACAGCGCAACTGTGCTCGCAGCGTCCCGAGTTTGATTCCCGTCTCGAGGTCCTTTGCCTCGAAGAAGAGAATATCAGCAAAACACCTCATACCAAAAGTGGGATTATGATTTTGGGCTTATGTAGCCACAGGGCCTGGGAACCTCACAGTCACTGAGTCAACCGTGAACTCCTCTGTATACTATTCAAAGTATTCTAGAGTCAAATGTGAGGCCATCCGTCCGACAGCTAAAGCTTGGCCAAGATTGGGTAATGCAACAGGACAATGATCCCAAGTACACCAGCAAATCTACAACAGAACGACTGAAAAGAAAAGAATCAAGGTGTTGCAATAGCCAGTCAAATTCCAGAGCTCATCCTGACTGAAATGCTGTGGCAAGAGCTGTGCATAAACAACTGCCCACAAGCCTCAATAAACTGAAGCAACGTGGTAAATAAGAGTGGGCCAAAATTCCTCCAGAACAATGTGAGAGACTGATAAAGTCATACAGAAAATTATTACTTCAAGTTATTGCTGCTTAAAGGGGATCTACAGGCAACTGAATCATAGGGTGTCGGTGTCCTAACTTTGTCACACATGGCTTTTCCATTTTGGCTTTGTTTTTTAAATAAATAATGGCACAGTGTGATATGTCATGTGTTGTTGTTCATCTAAAGTTTTATTTTCCAAATTTTAATTTGCTGAGGACCAGAATTTTTTTATGTCCTGATACAGAAAACCATGGAATTCAATAGCTTTTTCACATGACCGTATATAAAATATTACTGTTTTAACTTTCACATGTACAGCCTTTACTGGTAAATAATCATTAAGAGATTATGTGTGGACAGTTTTCAAACCTTTTGAAAAATACTGGTAAATCATTTTTTGGTTGTAACATTATCAGTAATATACCAGTGTCATACTGTGTGTGAACAAAGAACAGGATTATTGGTACACTCTAAAAAATGCTGGGTTATTTTTTTAACCCAAATGCTGGGATCAGCCTGTAGGGTCATTTTATTGGGTTGTTTTTAATATTTTTACCCAGGTGCTGGGTTATTTTATTTTATTTTTTTACCTAAATGCTGGGTTCAGCTTGTTGGGTCATTTTATTGTGTTATTTTTTAATATGTTTGCCCAGGTGCAGGGTCATTTTAACGCTGGGTTAATTTTTTCTACCTAACCGCTGGGTTGAGCTTGTCTCCGGTGGAACTTCTCAATAACGCAGCTGCTGAGA